AAAGTATGAAATTAAGCTACATTTATGGCTTTTAGTTGTTATTTAATGTTTATAATTTTATTATTTTATTTATGTTTATTTTATAAATTATTTTAATTCATTTTGAAAATGTCTCTATTACACGATCATTAATTTCTTACCAGCTTGAAATAAACAAAAGTACTACTTAATTAAGCTTTTGGTCAAGTTGTTGTTTTTTAGTAATATTCTAATCAGGGATGAAATTTCAATCCATAGACTAGTCTACAGACTAATCAATAGACTAGTTCATAAAGTAGTTGATAGGGTGATCCATAGACTAGCCAATATACTAATCAATAGACCATAGGCATGTCCTTAGAGTCATCAGATGAGTAATTAGTCCATAGACCAGTTCATAGTCAATATAGTATTAAATAAATTTGTCCATTGAATAGTCAATAAAAGACTAGCACATAGCCAATAGAATAGATAATATTCATTAATAGACTAGTCCACAGACTAGCACTTAGACTAGTCAATAATCTAATCTATAGACCAGTCAATAGGCTAATCAATTGACTAAGTAATCAATAGACTAGTCTATAAATTAGTCGATAGAGTAGTCCGTAGACTAGTCAATAGATAAGCCCATAGACTAGTAAATAAGATAATCAATAGAATTGTCCATAGAGTAGTTTATAGACCAGTCAAAAGCTTAATCAAAAGACTAACCCATAGACTAATCAATAGATAAGTCCATATACTAATCAATAGAATATAGAGAAGACAATGGACTAGTTGACAGACTAATCAATAGACTAGTTCATAAACTAATCGACAAGTCCTTGGACCAATCAGTAGAGTAATCAATAGACTTGTTCATAAACTGGTCGACAGACTAGTCAGTAGACTAATCAGTAGACCATAGATAATTTAGACTAGTCAATAGAATAAACAATTGACTAGTCCATAGATCAGTCAATAGAGTAGTCCATAGACTAGTCAATAGGTCATAGATAAGATCATAGACTAGTCAATCGAATAATTAAGAAACTAGTCAATATCAATAGACTAGTTCATAGAAAAGACCACAGTCTAATCAATAGACTAGTACATAAACAAGTAAATGGAGTAGTCCATATACTATCCAATAGACTAGTCAATAGAATAATCAATATACTAGTCCATAGAGGAGTCCACAGACTAATCAATAGACTAGTAAATAGACAATTCCATAAAATAATCAATAGACTAGTCTATAGACTAATCCATATACTATGGATTGCCGATTGACTACCTCCAAGGACAAGCTAGTCATCTAGGCAATTGGCTGGCTACGGTTGGTCGATTGACTTTCGCCTAGTCTATAGACTATTCCACAGACTAATCAATAGACCATAGGCTAGTCACTAGAATAGTAAACTAGTCCATAGATTAGTCAAAATACTAAACAAGTCTAGTCTATATACAATTGTCTAAACAATAGACTAGTCCACAGACTAGCCAAACGATTAATAATAGACAAGACTACATAGATTAGTTAATAACTAGTGCATAGACTAGTAAATAGAATAATCAATAGACTAGTCCCCAGTCTAATCAATAGACTAGTCCAGTAGATAGAGTAGCTCATAGACTACCCAATAGACTAATCAATAGACCATAGATATTGTTATAGACTAGTCAATAGAATAATCAAGAGACTATTCCAAAGATCAGTTAATAGAGTAGTCCATAGACTAGTCAATAAACTAATCAATAGACTAGTCCATACACTAATCCACAGACTAATCAATAGATCATAGACTAGTCAATAAAATAATTAAAACTAGTTCATAAACTAGTAGATAGAGTAGTCCATAGACTAGCCGGTAGACTAATCAATAGCCCATAGAAAAGATCATAGACTATTCAATCGAATAATTAAGAGACTAGTTAATGTACTAGCAAATAGACTAATCAATAGACTGGTCCATAGATTAGTCCACAGACTAACAATAGACAATAGACTAGTATACAATCTAGTGATAGAGTAGTCCATAGACTTATCAATATACCATAGATATTGTTATAGATTAGTCAATAGAATAATCAATAGACTAGTCCAAATATCAGTTAATAGAGTAGTACATAGACTAGTCAATAAACTAATCAATAGACTAGTCCATAAACTAGTCCACAGACTAACCAATAGACCATAGACTAGTCAATAGAATAATTAATATACTAGTCAATAGATTAGTTAAAAGACTAATCGAGACTAGTCCATAAACTAGAAGATAGAGTAGTCCATAAACTAGCAGATAGACTACTTAATCAATATCCCATAGACAAGAACATATACTAGGAAATAGACTAATCACTAGATTAGTCCACAGTCTAACCAATAGATTAGTATATAATCTAGTGAATGGAGTAGTCCATAGACTAGTTAATAGAATAGTCAATAGACTAGTCTATAGACTAGTCCATATACAAAGTATTGCCGATTGACTACCTATGTATTAGGACACCTAGGTAATTGGCTAGCTAAGAGTCACCCTGAGTAATAGGTTGAATAGCTAGTTCTGGACTGTCCCCTCGAACTGCAAGCTTAAGTTAAAAAGGTAAGTTAATAAAGGAAGTTTTTCTTTTGCCAAATTCAGCGGTAAGTATTTCTATGATTTTATAAGTTTATCAAGTTAAAATATACAAGCAATTTGCAGCTTAAAATCCCAACTAAATGTAGCTTAAGCTTTTAATATTATTTTATATTACAAACTTGTTTTTTTTAAGGACTGATAATTGCAATTAGCTAAAAAGTGCATAAGAAAAATATTTTATTTATATATTACTAAATAGTATATTAAGTCGGGTTTAACGCACTACAATTGTTTATTAGTATTATTTAGTTATAAGAGGTTTATGTTTTTTCCTAATATACAAGTATAATGTTATGTGTTATGAATTTACTTTTTTGATTTTAATGTAAAATTAATTAAAATTAACTAAAAGTAAAATTTTGCAGAATATTTCTCTATACCTATTAATATTTTTAACAAATCATAACTACCAATTTCAGTCTAATTTGATAAATCATAAATTGCACTATTGCATCGTCTCAAATTTAAATGTTTTCATTGAAATTAGTTAAGAAAACAATTATTTTTCTTCAAATTTTTATTAAAAATATTAACCAAAACACTAAAGCGACTTTTAGTCTTTACTACTTAATTTTTAATAAAATAAATATAATTGTTTTATTAAAATTGTAGTTTTTGTTTCTTTATATAATTGCATTTAAGTATTTTATTTTTAATTTCTTTTGTTAAGATGTTTTAAGAAGTAATTAATTACTTACTTAATATGGGTATACATAGTTTGTCTTTGTTAGTAGCTTAAAATTTAAAAAATATAAATGTGTATTTTGTAAACTATAATCAATTTGGAATAAACATATCACATTATTGAAAATAAGAAAAAACTGCAAATTTATAATAAAATCAGAGTGATTCTATTAAAAAGGTTTTAAAGAAAATAATATACAAAACATAATCAGATTTAACCTTTGCACTAACAATTGTTAATTAAATTTTAAAAAGGTTTTCTTTCCAACAATAGTAAATTTTGAATTAAAAACTTAACGAAAAGATACTATTGTTTAAGTTAAAATAAGTTGGAATATATAGAATTGAAAATTATCAAAGTTATATTTGGGGTTTTGGTAATACAAAGGTTAAAGTATTCTTTTTAGTTAAGTTCGAGGGAAAACTTTACAAAACAAAAGTAGTTGTTAACAAATAGGTTTTTTTTTTTATAAAAAAAATATTTAATATAGAGATTTCTTTTTATATTTTAAAGCTAATTTCATATTGCACTTAATAATCAACTAAATAAAGCATAAAAATTAATAATAATTAAGTATCCTTATATACAATATAAAGATAAATTTATAACAAAAAAGTAAAAAGTAGAAGATATAATAGAACAAATAGCTGAACTTGGATAGCTGAGAAAAGGATAGAATTTCAAATTCTTCCACAACACAAGAAATTATATACAAGTTTGGAACCTTTTTGAAACAAATACAACTTTTGTCTTAAACAGAACTTTAAAATCTTTCCCTTTACTTTGGTAAATGAGAAATTTATAGGAGATTCCTAATTTTTTCAAATGTTTTATCTTAAGTTGTAAATTTTTTACAATTTTAAAGAAATTATTTAACAAAAAAACAGTTTATGGCTTTTTTTAAGCAAAAGATAACAAAAAAAAAATAAAAACAATTAGATAAGTTAATTATAGTTGAGTTATAATCTACAATCTTATTTGGTAAAATTTATATTTTATCTATATATTTTGCTTTAAAGGGGAAATTTTTTCAGTTTTTTTTTTCGTTGAATATAATTATGAGATTTTTTTTAATAACTTTTACAACTACGAGTTTTACTAACAGGGATGGAAAATTCAGTACTTATGTAATTTTTAATTTCGAAAAAGATCTAAAGAATATTATATAGACAAGTATATATATTAGTCCACAGCCTACACAATAGACTAGTCAGAAGACTAGTCAGTAGACTATTCAATATACTAGTCAGTAGACTAGTCAATAGACTAGTCAATATACTAGTCAGTAGACTAGCCAGTAGACTAGTCAATAGACTAACCAGTAGGCTAGTCAATAGATTAGTCAGTACAGTAGTCCATAGACCATTCCATAATAATGCCCCTAGACTAGTCAATAGACTAGTCAGTAGACTATTCAATAGACATGTCCATAGACTAGTCAATAGATTTATCCATAGACTAGTCAAGAGACTTTTTCATAGATTATTCAATAGAATTGTCCATAGACACTAGTCCATAGACTAGTCAATAAACTAGTTACAAGACTAGACTAGTCATGGACATGTCAATAGACTAATCTGTAGACTAGTATATAACCTATTTAAAACAATAGAGTATAGTCTAATCAAAAAATGGACTAGTCAAGAGACTTGTTCATAGACTATTTAATAGACTTGTCCATAGACTAGTCAAGAAGACTAGTCAGTAGACTATTCAATATACTAGTCAGTAGACTAGTCAATAGACTAGTCAATATACTAGTCAGTAGACTAGCCAGTAGACTAGTCAATAGACTAACCAGTAGGCTAGTCAATAGATTAGTCAGTACAGTAGTCCATAGACCATTCCATAATAATGCCCCTAGACTAGTCAATAGACTAGTCAGTAGACTATTCAATAGACATGTCCATAGACTAGTCAATAGATTTATCCATAGACTAGTCAAGAGACTTTTTCATAGATTATTCAATAGAATTGTCCATAGACACTAGTCCATAGACTAGTCAATAAACTAGTTACAAGACTAGACTAGTCATGGACATGTCAATAGACTAATCTGTAGACTAGTATATAACCTATTCAAAACACTAGAGTATAGTCTAATCAATAAGCTAGTTCATAGACTAGACAATAGCCTCTACACTAGACTATAAACTTGTTTATAGACTATTCCATAGACTAGTCCATAGTGTTGTCAATAAGTAGTTCATAGACTAATCTATAGACTAATATGTAGTCTATTTAATAAACTAGAGTAGCCAATAGCCTATAGAAAGTGTAGTCCATAGACTTGTCAATAGACTAGTCCATAGATTTTTGAATAGACTAGTCCATAGATTTTTGCATAGACTAGTCCATAGACTAATATATAGCCTATATGATAGACTAGTCAATAGATTAGACTATAGACTAGTTTATAGACAAGTCAATAGACTATAGCCAAGTTTATAGACTACAGTAGATTAGACTATAGACTAATTAAAAGATTATTCCAAAATCTAGTATATTGACCAGTTCATAGAAAAGTTCCATAACTAAGACAGAAACTATTTCATAGACTAGTAAATAGGTAAAGAAAAAACAAAAAGTAATTAAGTACTTTTTTTTTTTCCTAAAAAAGTACTTTTTCAAAAAAAAAAGTTATTATAACACATCAATTTTCCATACCTGGTTATTCCTACTAATAAATAACTAATAAAACTTACTTGCGTTGCTGACTTTGTGTATGAGATTGTGATTCGGAATTAGCAGTTCTAGTATGATGATGATGATGATCTTCATCATCACTAGGTTCTTCTTTTAGAGGCAACGAATCTATCTGCTTAGCGGTAGTAGTCTTTTTATTACGCTGCCATGTGAAAACTCTTGCCATCTGCAAGAACTTCTTACGTGATACTTTACCCATATGTTTGAGACGTTCCTTAAAGTCAGCATCACCCTCACCTCCCTTACCCTTACCCGATTGTTCTTTTTCCAAAGCATTCATGAACTCTTGATTCCAGCGCAATTGATTCATAAACTCTTCATTTTGCAGCATCATGGCAAATTGTTCATCGGGTAAATCGAAATCACGATTGGGATCATAAGGCAAAGCAATGGTATTGCTGCCGGTGTTGATAGGATTTAAGCGTAGAAATCCCGCGGGTAAGGGTAAAAGCATGGGTGGATTCCAACGTTTGTTGGCACTATGATGTAAGCGTGAATTTCTTTTGGGTGTACTGCCGCCTTGAGAAGCAGATTTATTCTGTAATTGAGGTGGTCTAACTTTAGGCGAAGCACCGGTACTGTGATTGGGAGAACTGGTATTGAGATTTAATAAAACCGAAGCCATAGGCACCGATTTTTCTCCGCTGGCTGCTACTCCCTTGCCGTCCAACTCATCCGATACATCTATAAGTTGACCAGTTGCAGGCTGTTGCTGTTTGGCTTTAATATCTGGCACATTGTTGTCACTCAAATTTATCAGACTCTTTTGGGGTGAAATATTGCCATCCAATTCATTGCGTAGTTTTTCATTCTTTTCAATAAAAATAAGTCCCAATTAAACAAAGTTTTCCTTAAATTCAAATAAATTTTAAAATCACCTGATTATCTGTGGACATTTGCAACAGTTGATCAATGGTGGCATCTACTGCCCCCTGATTGGCTCTTAACACTGCCTCTATGACATCTCGGTCCATGTCGGGAAACATGGTTTTGAAATCCGACATGGCCTGGGAAAATTCCAATTGCATTGTGGAGGCCATTTTTTAAAAAAGAAAATTTAGATATTCCAAATCTTTTTACTTTTTCGCCAACTTATGTCAATTGTATCTTCTGTCAAGTTCCAAAAAATCAACTGACTGCTGCTGTTAATTATCTTAAAAGATAGATATTTGTTCTTCTTGTTTTATCGGCCAAAAATTATCAATGTCTTTATTGTTTGTTCTTTAGAGTATTTTCTTTTTATAAAATCTACATTTTTTTCGTAAATTTAATTGCACTTTGTTTCTTGCTATTTTTTCATGACTCTTTAAAAATGTTTTTATTAAAATTTTTTCGTATTGGTTCTATCTTATTTTAATTTTTTTGTATGTCTTCCTGTATTTATTATATATTCTATATTTGTTGTTGTTGTTTGAACAACTGAAAGATATAAGATACAATTGTGACATTTTCACAAATGTCAAGTGCAATAACAAAATAAATTTTTTGTTTAGAAGAAGAGAACAAAACAAATGTCAAAGAATAGTTTAGACTAAAACCGTAAAATAATTGCTATCAATAACAACTCTGTTTCTGTACAAAAATATGCATATGAATGTTGACATTGCTAAGTGTTCTCATCTAGTAAAGAGAAGAACCTTACGGCCACATAAAATTTATATGAAACTCCCTGTATGAATAATTTTAAATGTGTATGAGAGAATCAACTCCACAACAGCCACAGAGTGAAGAACTAACTAGACTAATTAATTAATTAATATAATTAATTAACTAACTAAGCTAACTTACTTAACAACTACTTAAGACTAACTAACTAACTAACAACTAACTAACGAACTAACTAACTAACTAACTAACTAACTAACTAACTAACTGAACTAACTAACTAACTAACCTAACTAACATCAATCTAACTAACTAACTAACTAACTAACTAACTAACTAACGTAACTAACTAACTAACTAACTAACTAACTAACTAACTAACTAAACTTAACTACACTAACTAACTAACATAAACTACTAACGAACTAACTAACTACTAACTAACTAGCTAAACTACACTAACTAACTAACTAACTAACTAACTTAACTAACTAACTAACGAACTAACTACCTAACTAACTAACTAACTACTAACTACTAACTAACTAACTAACTAACTAACTAACTAACTAACTAACTAACTAACTAACTAACTAACTACTAACTAACTAACTACTAACTAACTACTAACTAACTAACTAACTAACTAACTACCTAACTAACTAACTAACTACTAACTAACTAACTAACTAACTAACTAACTAACTAACTAACTAACTACTAACTAACTAACTAACTAACTAACTAACTAACTAACTAACTAACTACTAACTAACTAACTAACTCTAACTAACTAACTAACTACTAACTAACTTAACTAACTAACTAACTAACTAACTAACTAACTACTAACTAACTAACTAACTAACTAACTAACTAACTAACTAACTAACTAACTAACTAACTACTAACTAACTAACTAACTAACTAACTAACTAACTAACTAACTAACTAACTAACTAACTAACTAACTAACTAACTACTAACTAACTAACTACTAACTAACTAACTAACTACTAACTAACTAACTAACTAACTAACTAACTAACTAACTAACTAACTAACTAACTAACTAACTAACTAACTAACTAACTAACTAACTAACTAACTAACTAACTACTAACTATAACTAACTAACTAACTAACTAACTAACTAACTAACTAACACTAACTAACTAACTAACTAACTAACTAACTAACTAACTACTAACTAACTAACTAACTAACTAACTAACTAACTACTAACTAACTAACTAACTAACTAACTAACTAACTAACTACTAACTAACTAACTAACTAACTAACTAACTAACTAACTAACTAACTACTAACTACTAAACTAACTAACTAACTAACTAACTACTAACTAACTAACTAACTAACTAACTAACTAACTAACTAACTAACTAACTAACAACTAACTAACTAACTACTAACTAACTAACTAACTACTAACTAACTACTAACTAACTACTACTAACTAACTAACTAACTAACTAACTAACTAACTAACTAACTAACTAACTAACTAACTAACTAACTAACTAACTAACTAACACTAACTAACTAACTAACTACTAACTAACTAACTACTACTAACTAACTAACTAACTAACTAACTAACTAACTAACTACTAACTAACTAACTAACTAACTAACTAACTAACTAACTAACTACTACTAACTAACTAACTAACTAA